AAAGATCTGGCAGAACAAGAAAGATCAAAGGAGTTGAGCAAATGAGCTGAAAACTCTAACGACGCAGTCATGAAACACGTCAACGACTGATCCGGCATGGCAGGAGTTGTGGTCGACTAGGATGGAGGTATCCCCGCCGGACAACCCGACACAATATCTGTCCAAGGAGGTCTACCCCGTCGTAGAGAAAGGTCCGGGAGGAGGAGACTGTGCCGGGAAGCTGAGACGCGCGAAGGTATCGAGGAGCTGCTGAAGAAAGCTTTCCCTGCGGATGATGCTGAGAGCGAGGAGGTTGTTGGAGTGCCGTCGGTTGTTGGGGGCTCATGTATTGTGCGAACTAGGCGAGAGATTGCAAAGATCGTCCGATCAGTTGGCTGGCGAGATACTTGAAGGGTCTGAGATAATGGGAGGAGGTGATGGGAGCTGTGAGACGTGCCTGTCAGATCGGAACGTTCAGAACACTGCCGCAAGATACGAGCAGAGGGTGAAAGAAAGCTTCGATATGGCATCAAGGTTCGTCGTGTTGCAAACCATGATTCAAACTTCTCTCCTCCTCTTCCTCCTCCTCCCTCCTCCCTCCTCCCTCCTCCCTCCTCCCTCTTCCCCTCCTAAGCCTTCCTCCTCCGCATTCTCCTTCCTGCTCCTACTCCCTCCTCCTCCTTTTATCACCCGGCCATCTTCATCATCATCTCTGTCGCAATCAACAACATGAGCAACAATGACATGCTCTTATCATGGTCGTCAGAGAAACGCAAGACTTTGTAACCTACCTAGACAACACAGTGGCAGCTGTGAGGTGAAGATGAGCATGTGAAGAACGCGACTTGTTGTGCTCATGCTGTGTTAGATTGCTGTTATGGCCCTGTACATGCTACATTGCTCAGAAACAGATCGAAATCCAAAAAGTGAGTAGTGGGAGATGCGGAGGAGGAGGAGGAGCAGAAGGGTAGCAGGGAAGAGGAGGAGGGAAGGGGGGGGGGATGGCGGTGGTGAGAGAGGAATTGGCTTGATTTGGTTCTGAAACTCGACTTGCAGGTTGAAAAACCAAAAAATGAGAACGAGGAAATGAAAGAAGGGGAGGAGGGAGAGGGAGAGGGAGAGGGAGAGAAAGCCGGGGCCGGGGAGGAGGAGGCGAAGGAGGAGGAAGGGAACGAAGAGTCGAATGGAGAGAAAGGAGAGGAGGAGGAGGAAGGAGGGGGAGGAATGAAGAAGGTGGAGGAGGAAGAGGAGGTGATCGAGGTAAGAGAAGTCGCTCCTCCTCTCCCCCCAGCCTGATCGCTTGCTCTCAGATCAAGTGGCTCAGGTGGGTCAGCACGTCCCACCCTTGCAAGGACACCATCGAGGGCTTTGCCCTCAAGTACGAGGAGGAGGTTTACAGCTCTGCCCTCTCCTCTCCTGCCTTCTCCTTCCTCCTCTTCTCTCCCTCCCTCCCCTTTTCCCCTTCCGCCCCTTCTCTTCTGCCTCCCCCCCTTCCGTTTTCTACTTCGTCTCCTTCACTTCCCCTGCTCTGCGACTCTCTGCCCTCCCCTGTTATTTGTTTCTGTTTCCTTCCCTGTGTCCTCCCTTCTCCTCCTCCCTCTACTTCGCTGACGGCTCATCAGGGTATGCTTGGCCCTGTCTTGAACCATCGAACAATCGTGTTCGTCCCCGACGTGTCTGTAGCTCCAAGTATGCTCTCCCTCCTCCTCCACCCTCCTCCTCCTCCCTTCTCCTCCTCCTCCTCCCTTCTCCTCCTCCTCCTCCCTTCTCCTCCTGGTCTTTTTTCCCTCCTCCCCAATCTCCTCACCACCTCGTAGTCGCAGGAATGATCGAGGATGTCAAACTGACATGTTTTCACTGGCCATGATTGCCATGTACAGCAACTGCTCCCTGCTCCCTGCTCCCTGCTCCCTGCTCCCTCGCTCGTTCTTCTTGAAGACCAGTGCCTCCTCCTATCATGCCTGACTTCTTTGTAGCAACCTTGAGACCAGAGCCCTGCCATGGGAGGAGGAGGAGGAGGAGGAGGCGCGGGAGGATCAGGAGAGTTTCTCTTCCTTAGCAACGGGGAAGAAAGAAGATACAGAGAAAGAAACTCGTTCGATGAGAGTCATGAGGAGGATTGCCTGTGAGAACAGAAGACCTCGCGTGAGTCCTCCTCCTCTGCCTCCCGCCTCCCCTCGCTCTGCCTCCCGCCTCCCCTCTCTTCCTCCTCTCGTCCTCCTCGCTTCATCCTCCTCCTCCTCCACCTCCTCTTCCTGCATCCTATCTCTGCTTTTCCTCTTCCTCTTCCTCTTCCTCTCTCTTCATCAATCCTTCACCTGGGATTGTTCTTCTCACACTCTTCTCTTACATCATCTGCAGTTTCAGACTTCAAACTTCTCCATCAGCAGACTCATCCACTGGTCCTGCTGCTGCTGCTGCTGCTGCTGCTGCTGCTGCTGCTGCTGCTGCTGCTGCTTCCGTTTCTTTTGACTTTTCTTCCACCTGCTTCTGCTGCTTTCTTTATCCTTCCTCGTCCTCTTACCTCCCCTCTCCTCTTCTTCCTGCTGATCTTGTGACAGGTGCTGGCTCGACGACCCATGCTCTCGCCCGACCTCGCAGGAGCTTCTCCGCGTCCTCGAGCAAGGACTTTTCCCTGAGCCTCTTCACGCCATCGCTGAGGCTGGACCCTTCGTACATGCCTGCGAGTTGTACGTACTCTGATCTCGCTGCTGCTGCTGCTGCTGCTGCTGCTCCTCCTCCTCCCTCCCCTCTTTCTCTCATTCTTGTCTCATTTGCTTGCAGTGGTCTTGTCGAGTCACAAAATCAGAAGCTGATCGCGTGAGTTTTACTTATAGGATATCAACAAAATTAAATCCCTTCCTCCCTCTCTTCCCTCCTCTCTCTCCCTCCTCCTTGTTCTCATCCACACTAACTCCCTCACTTATCCTCTTCATCTCATTCTTCTCTCCCTCCTCTTCCTCCTCGTTGCCTTGTCTCATCTCGTTCCTCCTCCTCCTCTCACAGCTGGAACACTTCGTTCGCCTCCCCCTGCATCGGATGCAGCGGCGTCTTCTTCCACCGGTGTGACGTCAAGCTTGCCTTGCGAGGAGCTGCAAGAACAATCAACTCTGTTGAAGTAGGGGCCCCTCCTTCTGCTCCCCACCATACCTCAACCTCTCTCCTCTTGCCCCTCCTCCTGCTCCCCCCCCTCCTCCTCCCCTCCCCCTGCTCCTGCTCCTTCCCCTCCTGCTCCTGCTCCTGCTCCTGCTCCTGCTCCTGCTCCTGCTCCTGCTCCTGCTCCTGCTCCTGCTCCTGCTCTGCTCCTGCGCCTCCCCCTTCTCCTCCCTCCCCCCTTCAGGCACCCGTGTTGCCCTCCTTCCTCCCTCATTTCTTCCTCCTTACCTCCTCCAGCATCGCTCATAGCTGAAGTAGCAGAACTGCAGGAAAATCAGCGAGGAGAATGGCTGGGGAAGTGAGAGAAGAGGAGGACGAAGATAAGAAAAGGAGGAGGATGATGAAGATAAGAAAAGGAGGAGGATGATAAGATAAGAAAAGGAGGAGGAGGAGGAGGAGGGAAAGGAGAATCACCTTGCTGGGATAGAGGCAGCTTCTTCGTCCTCCTGTCATGAGGTAAGTCAGACGAGTATGTCAACATGAAACAAGAGGAGGAGGACAAAGGAAAAGGATAGGAGAGGGAGGAGGAGGAGGAGGAGGAGGAGGAGGAGGAGGTAGGAGGAGGAGGAGGAGGA